GGACATCTTAGTTGGTCCACGTGAAGCATACGACTCGGAATAACCTGTGTGGGAGAAGCTAATTATGTCTTTCTTTCATTTATTCTTTCGCTCACAGTTTCTCACTCTTTTTTTGTCTTTTTTTCTCCCTATTCACCGTTTCCTCCCTTCAAAATTCCTTCCTTTCACCTTTTCTCTCATTCTGATCTATACAGTATATGAGGCTCGGGTGAAGCATTCGTTCGCAAATCTCTTTCTCTCTTTCTGTCAGTTTATCTCTCTCGTCCTCTTCCCCTTCTTGTCTCTCCCCCTCCTCCTCTCTCTTTTCTTATATACAAAAGACCACACAGCTATAAACCTCCTGAAGTATTATATTGTATGCAGATGTGGGCATATAATAATAAAACCCTGAAGCCTACTCACGATTCAGTTCCATGTCGTAGCAACCAAAGCGATCGCACACAACACCAGTCTGGCACAGAGGACTCCAAAATTCATGCTCTGAGATCGAAAAATAAACAAACAAACAAAAAAAACGAAGCAAAACAAGAAATAATATTAATGATCACCTTACAATGGCTGTCTAGTTCTATCGTATTTCCCCGCCCTTATCAACGTATCATACGTATATGATTACCTATTGGCATTCATAGATTATTTCATTTACTCTCATCACTTATATTTTTTTTCGATCAATACAAATAAAATGCTTACGGTCCAAAGAGAGACAGTATTCTTCATCAAAGGTTATATTAACATCTATCGAGTGACCAAGCAATGCCACCAGTTCACGGTAGAACTCGCTGCATCTAAGGCGAACCTGGTGTGCTTCGTCTGCTATAACAAGACTATCTGTGGAAAGGTAAACCGTCCGCGTTTATGTAGTTAGGCATATTGGTACGGTGTTCTAATCTGGAAAAAATGTTTGATTTGACCTTTTTCTCACTCTAATCTGAAAAGGTTTGATTTTACTTTTTGTCTTATATTATATTGGTAATGTTTTGATGATCTGGTATATTGGACACAAACACCTATATACACAATATACGAGGACAGTAAATGTAAGCTCATCCTTTAGAAAAAGAAAGAAAGAAAGAAAGAAAGAAGCTCATCCTTTATGAAAAAAGAAAAAAAAGGAAAAAAAAGAAAAAAAAAGAAAAAGAAAGAAAGAAAGAAAGAAAGAAAGAAAGAAAAAAACATTCGCCAATATTCACGACCGATCCTTACCACATAATAGATTAGTGTCCACATCACACTCGACAGGAATCATACATATGTCTCTACCACTGTGGCAGGAGCCCTCACACCTCATATATCCCGGAGGGCAGGTCCTGTTATCCCTCTCGATATTAGCTGTGGAGAGGAAGGGGGCGAGGGATTAAAAGGAAAATAAATGTGGCAAATAGTTGACAGGAACTGGAAAAGAAAAAACAGAAACACTGGCTTTTAGACATGTTTTTCTCAGATATTTTGAACGTTGACCATAATATTAACCATCATCATCATAAAAAACAATGATAATAACAAGAACAGATATTTCTAAGATGATAATAATATTAATAATAAATAAATAAATATACATGACAGTAAAGGTATTATCAATATTAATAATACAGCTATTATCACTACTACCGACTTACTACGTGTAGTTAACATGCGACATGGTTACCAAGAGGAGCAACGCTGGGTAGAATCGTCCAGGTGTATGTATGAAATTTCGTGTAACGTTGAAGAACTTGTAGCTAGAATATAGTATAGTTTCTTGGGTATAAGTGTTGTTGTTCGTTGTTGCTGAGTGGGTTTAGCTGAGTTGTAAAGAGGTTAAGGGAAATAAGGCAATTTAATTCCTGGTGATTTAATACAAAGGTATCAATTCGTTTAGTCAGTTATTTCCAGTGAGCCGAGCCGAGTAATTAGTTACTGTGATTTGCAGCACCAATGATGCGCTAGTTACTGCAATTACTTCGCTCGAAATCCGATGGCCCGAAATCCGATGTTTTTATTATTCACAAATTTCGTGTTCTTTCTCAGCCCTCGCCTTAACTAATTCTCCTCCTTTCCCGTTTCGTTATCTTCATCCCCTTCTTCTGTCCAAGTAACCTAATCGTGAACTCATTTTTACCTTTTTCGCTACAAAACTTTGACCTCTGATGTCAAGTACATTCATTTCCCTGAACCATTAACCATCAACCGTGTCAGGCACAATTATCAGAAGAATACTCCATTGATACCATTGCTGCGTATAACACTGATTAGCTATATAACTATGATTAGATATTTTCACTTGAAAAAACAAATGCACTTACTGCAGTTCATTTCATCCTCTCCCTCTGGACAGTTGGCCACTCCGTCACAAACCCGATGGTCTTCGATACACATGGGGCTCCAGCACTTAAAGGCACCAGGTCGGCATGCATCTGTGTACAAAAATTAAATGAAATATTACACGTACACACACACACACACACACACACACACACACATATATATATATATATATATAGTATACTGATATTACTAT